GAGAAATAGAGAGAAAGAATGAAAAACAAACATAAACAAAAAAGTAAAGTAACACGCCTGAAAAGAGAAACAGAGGTATAATCTTAGTACACACAAAACTGTGTTCGGAAAACCCGAAGGAAAGAGAGCACTTGGGAGACCTGTTCGTAGATGGGAGGATAATAGAACAATTCAGGAAAACGTGTATAGAGCAATTCTTCTGACTAGTCATCAGACCTTGATCTCTGGTCTTTTCTGAATGGGAAAAGTGACAACAGAGTACGCTGGAGTCTATGACCTACGCACGGGAGAGAATTTTCGGATGCGGATTCCCATGAGGGGATCCCCCAACCTGTCACTATCAAAAGCAGAAAAGCATGTATTGCTGTATGTAAGGAGTTCCTCTTTGCTGTTGAATTTCAACTAAAATTGTAGTGTGTCGACAAATTGTAGCAAAATTCTAAAATTTCACATTTCATTAATATAATTTCAACTGCTCTCGAGTTGTTACATACGGAAAGACGGGCAGATAGACGTTCCGAACTTAACAGTCAGAATGTCAGGGTTTAGTGCCAGCAGTATTGAGCCATCATGTTCTGTAAGTAGCTTAGTTATTCGAGTAATCTCTCGCCCTAGTTCTGGGATAAGAAGAGTGAACATCATAAATTATCGCAGCATCTGACAGTTCGTTCAATTTGGAGAGACAAACTGCAGTTATTCTCCACTTCAACATGATCGAGTAGTAATGACTTTTCTTCTTGAACTGAAATTAAAAATACTTAATTTTCGCACTACTAAGCATTTCATCAGTACCAACTCTTCCAATTAAATAGTTGTACCCATGCATTTCCTGCGCACGGTTTGCGAGGGGTCTGGAAATGGATTCATTAAGGACGGATCTAATCCGTCTACCAACTGTTCTATCATATAGACTACGCAAAGATCTTCGATTAAACATAGTATTAGATAATTTATAGCAAATCTTATACTACGGTGTAAGATTTGACGTTCTCAAGGAAGCGAATATGAATATTACTGTCTCATGGGTTGTTTAGGGATAAAGTAAAGATACCTACATCGTCATTTCGCACTGAAGATGGAGACAGTAGATTTCTACGAAACGTTAGCATCTACAGGCGAGTGTATACAACACCCAAACCAGAAGGACAATATCATCATCTCCACCGCCGCGAAAACCTCAAATCTCACAAAATAATAATTTATCAAGTCATACTACGAAACAGTGATTTCAGTAATATATTAATAAAACATGCAAATAGGCAGATTTGATTAATAGAATGTAATCAAACCGATCAATAATCGAAATTACGGAGAGTGTAACAATTGGATTCAGGAGTTCTGCAATATTAAGCTGCGGTCCCCCACCCCACCACCAAAATAACGCTGATATGGCGCCTCGTAGAAGCGGTCACGAAAATTAGGTACAGCCAGTCACAAAATAGCATTCGCATTATCGCCAGTCAGCTAGTTCGGCATGACAGCCAACTGCAAATTCGACTAAGACAATAGGATGAATAGGGAATGACTTCATGTCAGCTTGTTGTAAACAATGACAGTCAGGAATTGATGGTGTTCAACATGGTCCAGACATATTTAAAGGACCTGCATCACACAGCATGGAAATGAATGTTGATTAATCAGTTCGGAAATACGATACGTTTTGGTAAGTACTTATCTTCGGGTCGTGTGTTTTTAAGCTAGCATTTAGCAATGTTACACATTACACGTGTCGAGGTCGTGAATGTCAGCGGGAAGTTTGCAATTGGACGTAAACGTGCTTCACAGAGGTCCTTCCCATTGATCTTGTTGATCCAAACAGCAATAACATGGCGTACCTCCGAACGTGAAACGCTGGCACTCAACTCGTCCATAAATCTAGTAAAATAATTTGTTACTCCGAACTTGATGCACTCACTCATCAGAGTTTCACATTACCAATTGTTATGGAGCGAAGTTTTTGTCACAATGTTCATCTGAACGTAATGATAAACCACGGATGTTATAAAAAACAACAAATAAGGTCTCTCATTCAATTTATTACACAGCCGACACCCTTTAAACATCTCAGTTCCACGTAAGAGGTTCGATAACCACAGTTTTAGAAATTCTGAAGTTAACAATTTTCTGAGTACATCGTTTCCTTCCACGTGCATATGTATGACTTGTATTGTTTCTCACAAGAAAGTTAAGAAGAGAAATATTTTGGAGATTACCAAATAATAAGGCAGAAAGATATAAAACAACGGACTTCTTCCACTAGTAACATAATTCTTACGTTAAAAAGTTAGTATCATTTCGTTACAATAGTTGACAAGTGATTATCGATTGCTCTGTATCTAACAGTAGCTTAATAAAATCACCCGCCATCCACGGAAAGATTACCAGTTGTTCATTACCGCTGACAGAGGACCCCTTAGCGTTTCCGGTTCAATGGGTTTTTTTTTCAAGCAGCTCTGATGTTACAAGAACACAACAGACGAATCCTTCGGAGATGTTTAAACACAAGCGTTACAACGATTTCTTTGAAGAGGCAAGGGGAGACCGGTCTAATTCCACCTGACTTTGTATTAAATTGGACTAGTTATTTTAAGTATTTATGATCTATTTAATAATATTTCCATTCGTTCAGAAGCCACGGCGTTTAATAATGAGACATTTTGCGACTAATAATTTGAGGATGGTTTGGATAAAAACTGTCGTGACGTATCTTGGAAATTGCGTCAGTCAGGACAACCGCTTCCAGGTGGGAAATAAATGTAAATTTTCCACAGTATTTCACAGAGAAATAAAACAAATCAATTCACTGAAACAGGCAGGCCATGAGCGCGAATGATGCCAGGTTTTGGGGCGACCTGTGCAGGTCAGAGCAGGTCAGTCACGCGAAGTTCGCGTGCCTCAGTGGCGTGATCGCTACCAACATAACAACGAAGCATTTCCCTTCACTATCAAACTCAGCAAATTACATGATAAGTAATACAGAAGATCACGCGAGATAGAAAGGAACTGTCACTCAAGTCTTCAAATCCTCGCTGCCACCTGCACAATTTGCGATTGAAATCTTATTTTTTTACGAAGTAGAATTCACAAAAATAGTCGTTCTTATCCCTAAATCATAATGTGCTAGACATGAGTTACAGCGTGTTTATCTTCATTCTTTGAATTCCGTTGCATGATATGATAACTATCTGAAACTCCAGGTGCGTTTTATTTCGTTTCATTTAATCTTTAAAGAGTAAGTGAAACGGCGGCGATAATGAACATCGGAATGTCTTCGGAAACAAGACCGGAAAACTGACGTCAAGTGGACCAATCCAATTCAATGGACCCAAATGGTTAGGTTTTATTATTTAACCTGATAAAGAAAATGAGCCGGGATAGCTCAGTCAGTATAGTGACTAGCTACGGGCTGGACGGCCGGGGTTCGATCCCCGACGGGGGCAGAGGATTTATCCTCTAGCCTCTGCGTCCAGACCGGCTCTGGGGCCCACCCAGCCTCCTCTACAATGGGTACCGGGGTCCTTTCCCGGGGGTAAAGCCGGCCGGGGCGTGATGCTGACCACTCACCCCCATCTAGTGCCGAGGTCAAGGAAGAGAGGAGCTATACCTCCACTCACCCCAAACGCCTACATGGTGTATAGTGGGACAAACTTTACTTTACTTTACTTTACCTGATAAAGAAAGCGTCCTAAACGTCGTGTGTACTCTACGGTAATGGACGAAGGAAAATGTAAAAGAATATGCATAATTTTAGTATCACATCTTCGTAAAAGAAACGTTTAAACTAATTTTACTCCTGACCGAAAATTCTGCAGTTACATGACACATTCTCCCCAAGAGACAAACACCACAGATGACATATACACAACGTTAAAGCCACAGACTATGATCGCTGGCTGGCGTGACTGATGTCGTAAAGACGAACAAATTTCCAGTACTGACACAACAAAAAGCAGATTGCGATCGCACTACAAACATGTAGCTAGACATCTTCGTCTCCTCATTCTGTTCACGAAGCTTATCAACAAGCGATATATTTAGACCAAAGTTGTATCGATCTATAGCTGTAGTGGGCGGGGTAATTTCATAAAATAAAATTGCAGACTTAATAATTAGAAACGATTAACTTACTCTATAGAACAGAGCCCATCTTAAAGTGTCAGAGGATCAAGAAACAACGACAAATAAGAACCCAAACTTTAAGTCTGTGTTCACAAGAGCCCGCCAATGTACTCTGTCCACAACCTCACATCCTGAATCATTAACATATACTGCAATAGTGCATTAACATCTGCCCCTAGGTCTACCAAAATAGCTTATTCCTTTCAAGTTTTGTTGAAAATTTAAGTATGAATTTCTCATGCCCATCCCATTCTCCTTAATTTGTTTATCATGACATCAGATAATGATTACAAACAATATAAAGTGGCTCATTGTTCCAATTTTTTCCACCCTCCCATTACGTCATTTATCTGTCTCTTGTCACAAAAACGAAGTCAGCAATTTGCTCTCAAACGAAGCCGATACCCCGTTAGATCGGAACAGGCCAGAGATCATAACAATGATGTCTGAAGAAGAAGGTTCCTAATATAAACTGCTAAAGACCCGCACTCAGCAGACTAATTAAGATATACAGACAAATCAATAAAATTAAATGAGAGAATTTCTATTCAATGGGCACATTTTCAATACTTTTGGCAATTCCAGCAAATGAGAAAAGCTACTAAATACAAAATATATCGTCTTTCCTTTATATACCAATCTCACAGGTTATACCAAGCCTCTATTCAATTTTTTAACATCTAGTTCGCCGGGCCGCGCATTTGTGTGGGCGTTCCTAGTATTCTTTCAACGCCTTTAGAATTTACTATAATACACGATGAATAAAGACATGAATGATAAATGAAATTAGCTTTCAACAGGTAAAAAGACTCCGCAATTACACGACTTGCAAATTTATATATATTAAATATTATATTTTGAAAGCAAGCACAGTTACTCACCCTTTGATTCGCCTCATGATGTCGAGATGTACTGCCATCTGCAGGGAGAAAACATACCACCATTAAGAATGAATAAGACGCTTAAATTATGAAAAGCTATAGCTTGCATAGAATAAACCCCTAATCCTATCTATCTGAATTGTATTGACACAAGTGGAATCCCTTCCACCCCGTTATTTCTGTTGAGGATAGACATTTATAAAAAGGAGTAAAACGAGTTTTTATATAAGTAGGTTAACGCAGCGGTATCGCATGTACCTCTAAATTTTAGGTATTTTTAGGTACCCGATTTGAACCCCAGGCGAGAACAGACTATTCTGACTGAAACTTAATGTAGCTGTACTCAACATACAAACGAGTCGGAAGACCATTATAAAGCTTTCACAAATATTTTACACATTTCACAGTCTTCATTGAAAGTACCAAACATAATAACATGTCAGTTAAGTTCTGTAACTTTTGCCTAAAATATTTACACTCTTCCTACTATTGTAATGAACAGGTTATTCCAAATTTAAACATCCATGTCTATCGTACGTCACATTGGATATAGTTACTCTGTTAGAGATTATCCATCATTCACGTCTTAAACCACATCGTTTCGGAAGTTAGTTATATTTCCGTCTTCAGATGACCGGTGGCAGGAAAAATTGCTAGTACGATGGCCTCCTGATCGAGATAATGTGAAAATTGATCCACGCTAGCTCATAGTAACATTTTGTATATGAGAAGAACTTAACATTTAGCTACAGAAGTAGCAATAATAACAGTACATAGGACCTTGAGATAAAGTTCCACAAATTATAAATTCGGCAATAGATGGGGTGATCTAGCAACTTTTATTTTTCTAAAACAACCTACGAATAAAGCAGGTGTAATAAGCCTTCATTTTAATATAAAAAAGAAAAAAATAATTTAGAACACTTACAAAACAAAGAAAAAGATACTGAAACCCCCAGACTTATTAAATCAAGGAACTAGATGAACATAAACTCAAATAAGAATCTTATTAAAGGAAACAAAGGATATTCATTACGCGCTGACTGTGAAACGACCACAAAACTTTCTTTTAATTTAAGTTTCTCTTCATACATTTTCTTGAAGTGTTCTTTGTTCTCTTGCAGGCGATTCGCTTTTGTTTTTCATAGCGGACAGAAATCATGGGCACAAACGTCAACATTTCCCTGATTATTTCTTCATTATTGAAGGTTGTGAGATGCTAAAAGTTCGGGCTTTCTTCTCCCGATTTTCCTATCAAGTGTTTACCATGTAACTGATGAAGCACAGTCTTTCTTAAAGAGCTAATATTCACTCACCTAGTAGAGAAATTCCCAGGTTTTTATAGAACCGAATATTCATCGCTGTGTTCACAAGAATCCGCCACTGGATCTTATCCTGAGCCAAAACTATCCATTCTAGATCCTCAAATACTGTTATTCTGTGTTCCGTTTTAATATTATCTTCCCATCTTCTCCTAGGTCTCCGAAATGGCTTTTTCTTCGTTTTCTGACTAAACGTAGTATGCATTATTCATCTTTACCACGTGCCCTAAATACACCTCTCGTCTCATTCTTCTTGATTTGATCACTCTAATAATGTCTGGTTAACATTTGAAATTATGAAGTTCTCCAAATGTAATAATTCCAGGTTCGAGACTCTAAAATACTTTCCGTAACTTGTTAGATTTTTCTTATTTGTACTGTGTGGAGCTGCTAACCTTTCGGCCAATCCCCATGCGGGACGACCACCGATTGTCAGCTGTCCGCGATTGTCTATTCATTATACTCGCAAGTACCCTGCACATCTGGAGGAAGCCTGCACTATCCGTCCACAAATGACAAAGCGCCACTCAAGTAAAGAAATCGTTAACACACAAATTTATGAAGATCTAAGCAAACAAATACAGCTTCAAAATAAAGTGATATTTGGCAAATACGACCGAAATATACATACCTTTATTTTCTTCTACTGAGGGTATTAATACGAAATATGTTAATTGATAAAGGCAGGTTCTAAATAAATGTTAGACATGCTTCCGTTTGCTGTGATCAAAGAAACTTTTGTGATACGTAAGTTTGTGTCCACACAGGCCTGTAATACGCAATCAAACATAGAAAGTCTGATTCTCCCAACCCTGTGAGAAAAAGTAGGCTGCAATAAAAACAGATGAAAGGGAGGCGGTTGATGGCAAAGACGTAACAAATGACACTTTTATGCGAGATGTGTTCCTGAGACTGCAGATGGCCGCGCAAAAGAACGACAGAAAGCCAGCACTGCGTCTGACGGCGAAAACGGATGGTCGTGCTTAGGGCAAAATCGATAGCATCACTTTACAAAACGGCGGGACTTCTGAATATTAACGCTGCATGTTTTGGCTTGCTAAGGATAGCAACACGAACGCGATAGTTCAGAACCTGGAGTGAACTGAGCTTAAGAAAATGTACTTTTACGTCAATAAAATTCAAACACGCTGTTCCTGAAACGCGAAGCGAATATTTATAAAACAATTATTTCTCGTTATTTAAAAAGAACATATTTTTAAAAAACACTGAATGATTATGTCATGATTAATAATTTTCATAATTAAACACATGTTTAGGGTACATAACACGTTAAATGTGTTCCGAGAAACACAAACGTACCTGCAAAGACCTCAAGAGTGTTTTACACTCCATTTCACGTTATCTGGTACAATAATCTCGAAGTTAAACACTGCAGTCGATTTGTACAATGGTCGGAGGGATCACGCACATAATTAATTACTTTAAAATGCTTGTAAGAATGGCATAAGGACTCATTTTATGACGCTGTATTCAAACATGTACTCCATTTTCATCTTCGACCATGTTCACAACAGCGGGCAGCGTTCACGTGACGCCATATGCATTTGCCTGACCCGTGTTCTATTTTAAGACCAAGTTTGCATGACAATATGTTGTACTCTTCCGAGATAAATATCGCTCGCGGTTCCGTTCACATTAAAGGTATTTTACTTGAGTTAATTTTACTCCAGAGTCTGCTCCCTCACATGCAAGTAATAAGACAACTCTGGTGCTTCAGATATGCTCACACAGTATAATGCTACAATGAGCTCTTCTCCGTTATTTTTAATTTAATTCAAGTATCATAATAATACACTTAACGTAGCTGTCAAGTTGTTAGCATTCCTAATCCAGGCAAACGCCAGGATAGGACATTAAATTAGGCCACGACCACTTCGACCCACATACCTCCAATACACTCACTTCACTCATCATCATCTATCATGTGAGCTATTACCTTCTGGGGCCCATTCACTGGAATACAGCTGGTCACACAGATATTGCCTACTTATGAGTCTAGAATGCATGGAGTTTTACCTCTATGACCCCCTATACGGCTTCATTACTCATCGCTTAGGGCTATGCAAAGATGTGGTATATTTTTTAATATTGACAAATATATAATTAGAGGAAATAAGTAAACTCTCTCTGTCTTTAGAAATTACGCGTGCGTGAGTGCGTGTGTCGAACCTTAATGCCGCAACTAACACGAACCATGCGTGAAACACCTTCTTACAACAGTAGGTAAAACAGGAAAAGAAATTCCGAGATATACGCCCATACGTTATGTTAAAAATGATGTTCAAATGCAACAAATTCTGTTGTGTTTAACAACAGAATCGAAATTCAAATGATATAAATTACAAAATTCTTCCATCCGTGCAAGCCACAGCTCGCACGGCATCATGTGGATACGGTCGCAGTGTTTACATCCTGACTCCATGGAAACGGAACGTTAAATGACGACTACAACTCAATTAGGCTTTAAATGCGACAAAACGTGTGTACAAGACGTCACTCCTGCGCGCGTGGGCGCGACACGCGAACATAATGCATCAGACGCCACACGTTTGTTTACACTTTTAGAGCCCGCAATGTTTCTACGAGATTTATGGCGACAACAGACCTTACTGCGATAATTGTAGTAATATGTCAGCCAAAAAGAAGGCTTAATATGCTTCTGAATTGATTCTTCCATCTCCTTCTCAGTCTTCCATGCCGACGTTAAGATTTCCCGTCATTATTATGTATGCATTCTTTGTCACATTTTCAACTCATCCTAAGTTTGATTATTCTCAAAATGGTACGTGACCTCTAACCTTTCTTTGGTAGGTAATATTCTGAATTGTCTGCTTAGTCCATACTTCTTAGGTTTAAGTATTTTGTGCTCGCTTTGTTTTCAAAAAAGTAATTTACATATTTTCCTCAGAATGAAAAGCTTCACACCTTAAAATTTTGCCAAATTACTATTTTGCATATCTTGGTCTTAGCGTTTTGGAAAGTAGGCATGATAATAATAATAATAATATCAATAAATCTCGATTCCCCATTACGCAATTCCATCGTCCTTAACACCCAATAAAGCACTACATATTTGCAGGCATTTGAAGTAGCCTTTTTTTAAAACAAAAATCTATATAGCCTATTGACATGTCACGTAAAGTATTCAGTAATTTTAAAAACTTGGTGATAACAGTCAATCTAATCATATTCGTTCGCAAGTTAAAACTTTCTCATGGAGACAAATCGCTCGGTGTAATTAAAATTCCATTAACAATATTAATACATTAACTTGCAAACTTTATCAAAACAGCTTTACAAAACGGGTAAAACTTCTTGCGCGTATCAACATTTGTCCTCGTGAAGTCTGTAGCGTCTTGTATCTGAAGTTCTTATTTGCAAAAGGAGGATCGTTAAAACCACTCTATTTGCTACATAAACACATTTTAGCAAAAAAACTCTTACATAATTCTATCACAGAATATGCAAAATTCAGATAGGCTACTATTAATATATTAAACTTCTCTTTCGTGTTCTAACTACCTTCTGAGATATTTTATGTCTGTTTCATGTTACTCTAACTTGCTACGATAGTCCTGCTAGATCTTAAGAAATCAAAGAACATAAATACACTCCAGAAAAGATAAGGGTCTTTGATTTACAAGACAAAAACACAGGAAGAAAGTAATGTCTTACACCAAACGTTTCCTCATAAA